ATCAAAATTGATGTGTAACTTATCTTGTCATCTTGCCCCCCACATCGACAAGATCACTTAATCAGGATCACGTCTTCATGAGTGAATCCTCGCCAATGTCGCCCCAGACTATCCTCCACGTCCTCTCCAGTAAAATACTGGGAGGGCAAAATATCTGTATTGAGTTCTCTTGGAAAATAATTTATTGGTACATGTTTCCATATAGAAAACCAATTCTTGCAATGTCTCGTGACTAAAAAGACGACGTAGTTGTTTACAGCGAAAGATTTAAAGATGGAAGACATCTCTATTTTTATACCTTAAATAAGCAACAAGTGTGGTGGAGAAGAAAATGACCAGGAGTTAACTGATGTTCCAAATGTCAAGCATCTCCTGTTGAAAATAAATGAACTTTTAAAGGTTGTATGTCATCAATTTGAGATGTGAAAGCGCGAAGCAAATTCTAAACTCCCAATAATCCTTTGCAGTGCATAGCAACAACTGACAAGGAAAAAAATATAAACAACAATTTAAGGTATTTCTATAACTAGGCTGAGAAGGCAAAACTGTAAAGTTGAAATATGCCCAGGAGTTACCTGATGCTCCGAACGCAAAGCATCCCCTGTCGATTATAAAAGAGCAACGAAAGGGTACATAGAAGTAAAGTGAATTTCTCTGTCCTTTCAATGTGTCTTTACATTTCTTATTTAAGAATCCATACATCTATCCGTATTCCTACATCTAGGATATGAAAGGCCAGTGTGTAAAATGTGAAAAAGATAATCAATATAGCAGGATATACTTAACATTCCAAACGCCATCAGCTGTTGTCAGTGATAAAACATCCTCAAAAGGGTACATGTAAGTCAAGTGATTTTTTTCTGTCATGTCTTTATATTGCTGTAGTAAGGTCTCATACCTCTTTAATTCCTATAACTAGAAACTTGTTTTCCTAGACGCCAGCGCTCCATGCGTAAAATGACGTTTCCCAGCACTCGGTGTCATTCTGTTAGCATTTGATTGCCGTATAAGCATGGGTGAACAAGAAGAGTTCTTCCTCATACCAGGAATCGAGATCATCAGTGTCTGGATAGCGAGGACTAGTACGGGAAGAGAGCTTGGACGCTACAATACTAGCGCAATTAAGTTGAGGACTCCCGAAGTTTATCAGTTTATGCTAACCTTCGGAAAAATCATGACATCAGGGTTAAACTGTACAAATGAATATCGGCGAATAAATAATTTTTTTCTCATAAACTCCTTGCATACTGTGATTTCTCATAATAATTGTAAATAAAAATTTATATGTAACTTATCTTGTGATCTTGCCCCCCCCCCCCAACATCGACAAGAACACTTAATCAGGAGGACGTCTTCATGAGTGAATTCTCGCCAGTGTCGCCCCGAACTATCCTCCAAGTCTTCTCCAGTAAAATACTGGGGGGGGGGGGGCAAAATATAAGTATCGAGTTCTCTTGGTAAATAATTTATTGGTACATGTTTCCCTATAGAAACCCAACTCATAGGCGTAGTCACAGGGGGGGCAGCGGGGGCACTAGCCCCCCCACTTTTAGATCTGGGGGGGCAAGAGTATGTGTGTGCCCCCCCACTTTTTAAAGAAGAAGAAAATCACAGCTATTTTTCCCCAACATTACCTTTACCAAACGAAAGTATAGTTATATCGAAGAATTGTAGGAGAAAATTGGAATTGAAAGTAAGTTGTCTTTTGAAAAAGTTGCCCACTCCCCCCCCCCCCCCCCCCCCCCCCCCCGCTCCACGAAATAGGATTTTCGACTTCGGTTTTGGGGAACTTATGTCCTTTTTTTTTTTTTTTTTTTTTTTTGCTTGTCAAAGAATTTCTGGAGTTGAGCCCCCCACTTTTAAGTTTGGGGAACTTTCAATTTCTCTCTCTTTTTTTTTTTTTTTTTTTTTTTTTGCTTGTCAAAGAATTTCTGGAGTTGAGCCCCCCCACTTTTAAGTTTGGGGAACTTTCAATTTCTCTCTCTTTTTTTTTTTTTTTTTTTTTGCTTGTCAAAGAATTTCTGGAGTTGAGCCCCCCCACTTTTAAGTTTGTGACTACGCCTCTGCAACTATTGGGAAGTCACAGGACTTAAAAGACGAAAGTAGTTATTTACAGCGAAAGATTAAAGGTAGAAGACATTTCTATTTTAATACCGTAGATAAACAAGTGTGGTAGAGATAAATATTATCAGGAGTTGCCTGATGTTCCAAATGTGAAGCATCGCCTGTGAAAAATAAATGAACTTTTAAAGGTTGTATGTCATAAATTTGAGATCTTTAGCGCAGCGAACCTGCGGGAAGCGCCCCTCTCGTAGCGAGCTCAATAGACTAATGTGTACGAACGAAGGAAAATTCGGGTGAAAATCTGCACTTTGTTCCAAGAATTTTTTATCTCACCGCTTGAAAAAAATGGTTAACTCCCAATAATCCCAAGGGACAAAAACGGCACTTTCCTGGAATATATTGCCTACTAGTCACTTCATACGTTAAAAAAAGATTCGTCGCAATACTCTCAGAATCGCTTTTTATCATGAAGTTGCTCAGCTCTTTCGCAACGATAAATAATATATGATTGGAGTTCAATAAAGGTTTTTAATTCAAAATCTATTCATCCCTTTGAAAGAAATATCTGAAACCCTTAAGCGCCCCATCCATCTGGTTTGGTCACGTCACAAGTATCATATTATGAAAATAGCCAATACAAAAGTGCATTGAAAAAAATGTTTCAAGTAAGATACAAAACTCAGATGGTCTATTATGTCAAATACGGGATTGAGAGTCGGTGCTTCGCACCTCGTCCCAGTCCCGTATCTGACATATTAGACCATATTCGTCTTGTATCCCTAACGTAAGACCAGCCTAGCAAACAAGCTACACTGTGAGCCAAACGTTTTTCTCGAGACTGTCGATTCTACTGCCCTGCACATGTACTTATAAGAAAGGAACTTTGTAACATGAGTAAACGATCCTTGGTTTAGCCTAAATGTTGAAAGATTCGTACGCGTGTTAAATCTTGTTCAATTCTAAAAGTGCAAAACAAAATCATCGTGTGTTATACTGTTCAATATTCATTGTGATCTTTGGTACATATAAAGTTAAAGTGATAGGGGCAGGAAGAAGTTTAATGCGGAAGAAAATTTTTAAAATTGTCCACACTTAATCGCATTTAAGACAAAACAGATAAATTTCATACAGTCCCCCCTTAACAAAATTGAGAAAGAGGACATCTTTTGTAGAAGATTCACACAAAATATTCATATTATTTGCTCTAAAACCAGGACTCATAAATTCAAGCTCTTTCGCTTACAAACGTGCATGGATACCCTTTCCAAACGTTCAACATCCCAAAAACACACTGGGGCTTAAAAAATGTGATATTAAAAATAGTGAGCTACCATTCCAACTGTAGTTACTTCGATGAACTACCTAAATATGACGTCATATCAGCTCAAATATGCAGTCATTTGACGTCATACATATGCATTCATGACGTCATACCTAAGAAAATAGAAGAAGAAATACAGTTTGAAGTTTTTACGGTCAGCCTAATATATCCGCATTGCAATCAAAACTTCTTTCAAAAGAGTAGACTTTTAAAATAATTATTGTAAAATTTTTAAAATAAATTCAAGGAAACAAGGTCATCGAAACAAAAAAGCGGAATATAGAATTGCTCTACGGGGAGTACATTTATTTTTGAAAATAATTCCGGAAATTTTAACTCAAGTGAGCTTTACTGACAGATCACCGAATGTCCGTCGTCCGTCCATCTGTGAACTTTTCACGTTATCAACTTCTCAAGAAAAACTGGTCAAATTTAAACTATTTAAGCAAGATTTGAACAAAGCATCCTTGGGTGAAGGGGATTATAAGGACCATGTACCATTACAAGGGGAGATAATCAAGAAAAAACCAAAATAGGGAGGGGTCATTAAACAATCTTCTTCTCACGAACCACTGGGTTCCTAAGAACTACTTGGCCAGTATACACTTCCATACTGGCATAGGTTTAAAGTTACATAGATATTGCTTGTTTATTCTTTAACGTTCCTCTTGATAACTTTTCACTAGTTTGGAAACGCAACCGGTAAATAGCTACAAATTTTGACCTATACTCTCTACTCAAAGCCATTGAGCAGTGAGGGATCTTGTTCGTGCCAGCACCTACTGCAACAAAGCATTAAACGGCCTTAACTGAAGGACTGGTCTCAAGTCCCACAGAGAAATTGAGACATGAAGGATATGGAGATAACGAACGGCATTCAATCTCAAAGTCCATAAAACAATACAAAATAAGAGCCGAGCAAACACGGACCCCCGAAACATCAGAGCTGGGATAAGGTGCCAGGGAGGGGAAGTTTCTAGTGTGCCGGTCCCCAGAATCACGTGATTGCGCATGAGCAGTTATTACCCTTGCCGTTGCTATGCAGAATGTAAACAAACCGCATTTTCCCAAACGCACCCGATCGAGTGATAAGGATTAGGTTATATGGTTTTTAAAATTGGGTTTTTTTCATAAATCCACTCTTAATCTTTCTGACTTTGGGCTAATTTATGTAATTTTTGACCAAAAACTTGCATGAATCAGCCTTTCGAATCGTGCCGATATCTTACACTTTGGTTTAGTTCATATTCATGAAATTTTTGCTTAACAATGAACAGGAAAGTTTAAGAAATGAAAGTTCGGGTAAATCAACTCTATTGTCGAAACATGACGAGTTTCAGCGCTGAGTTAAGGCAAGCGACTTACCGTTAACTTGGTTAACTGTGCAGCTCGATATCCTGACCTAATGTCCAAATATTCAGAATATTTTCCTTTCAAATCGATAATGATGCACATTTCAATCCATCGATGACTAGTAATACGGAACTTCCGAGATATATAGTTACGGTCGTTTTTGGTTCAGTAATTAGAATGTCTGTCACGTGATAATGCACCAATTGTTAGGCAAAGTCATCGAGAAAGTATAAGTTAGCAGACGCGCGCTAATGCGATTTGAATGGGAAAAGAACGGACGCAGACAAAGAAATCAGCGGATGAACCCAGTTCATATTGGTGCTCTGTACCTGGCTGTACTGCCGATGGTCGGAAGAAAGCCAATTTAGCTGCCTATCCATGGATGAAAGGTGTGACATTTCATGCCTACCAAGGACTGCATCGCAATCCTTCGCTGCGACGAAGGTAGGTTGAATATGTAATTATATATTGTTTGTTTTTGTGTTTTTTTTAATCAGTACACGTTTTAATTCACTGTTGACGACCAAACAATGCACCACAGGCACCTGATTTTTTTTGACAGTAAATTGCAATAAAAGCCCTGCATGAACTATTAAAAATAACATGCACACACACAAAACTTCCCTTTATTGGTTATAGTATGTACATGTATACACGAATATGTGTTTTTATATATAGAGGAGTAGATTTTTTATTGAGGGCATTACTTAAAGCCGCTTAACCCGAAACAGGCACATATTATCTTACACAATAAAAGTACTTCATTACATAGATAATGTATAAAAAGAAATTATAAGATTGATTTAATAGTTTATTACAACAATCCTTACATGGAAAACGCAGATTAAAAACCTTATTGAAAAACAGTAGTTCCTGACGGAAGTTAAGATCTGTTGTGAAGTCAATTTTGAAAAAAAATAAGTTTATCGGATATATCTAATAATGAAGGTATTTCAAACCTGAGTATTTTTTTCTCTATTTTAAGAAGCCTTAGTCATAATACATCTTTTCAAAATTAAGAAATTAATTGAATATAATCCATAGTAATTTTTATATTAATATGCATATTTAAAGAATAAAGGAACATCAGATATTTTAAATGATTTTTTTAAAAGGAGCTAAAATATTGTCCGTGAACAGGGGCTTGCTCCTGGCGTGTAAAAAATATTTATAAAAAAAAACATAAACGATATACTATAAACTACACTAGTATATCGTTTATGGTTTTTTTAAGGTTCATAGATACTCTGATAAGAGAGATAACTCTACAGATAAGAAAGATAACTTTCTGCAGACATTTTGTCATGAAATTCAGTAATTTGTCACGCCAGAGTTGACAGATCTCTATCATAAGGACCATTTTAGTGTTAACTCAAGCAAACCTAACCCATAGTTCAGAGGTTGATTTCTAGTTCTATTGCTAGTATATATATAAATTATTTTAATAGTTTACCTAAAACATTTACACCGTGTATATCCCAACATGCGGGGTGTATACTACGTTGTGCGCGGGGTGTATGCTTCCGAAGCGAGAAAAAAGGGGGTCAATGTATGTTCTTTGTCTATTTTCTCAACTTACGGATATTTTTCGCCAGAAAGCATATGCCTACGGAAGGAAGTATTGTCTAAGGAGTATATGGATACCTGTGAATCCACTGGACACCTTCTAGTTTTTTCAAACACCTCAACACAATTTAGTGGATCCGAGCAAGATTAGCGCTACACTGTGTTTATGATCAAATATCAGAACAAAGCTTTGCTTTAACGTCACTTTTATATTATTGTTAAATACATTTTTACAATATAAACGTTTGTACAAATTGTCTGTAAATAAAACAGTTCGTATATAAAGAAATTGACGAAAAATCAATGTTGTGTCCAGGGTGTATACAACATGTTGTATGCGGGGTTTATACCCCATATTTTTCTTAGGATTGTGTAGTGCAAGGTATCAATGCCATGTAAATATTATATTCACACAGGTTTTAAAGTGACAGATATTGTTGATAAAAGACCTTAAAACTAATGCCGAACCAAAGAGTAATTTCCATAAACTTACTGAAGTAAAAAACAAATCAACTAAATTTAAAAAAGAATAAAAAACAAACTATCATAATCAAACATAAAGACGCTAGATGTGCAAGGAGCGATTGTTATCTGACTAAATGCTACATTGTGGATGGTGCAATGATCTAAATCTACGCAATCATAAAATCTCTCCAAAGGGTCCCTCGCCCCCCCTCCACAATCCCTGCATGGGTGACACTGTCCTTTCTTTGGTTCGTTTTTATCTAAATATTTCGCCTGTAAAATTAATAGAAACTCTACATGAATGGTGTATTATGAATAAATCGTTGTTTGTTTTTTTTTTTTGTTTTTGTTTTTGTTTTTTTGGTTTCTGCAACATTTATGTTATCAATACATATATTCTTAAGCATTTATGTCAGTGATGTAGAATCTTTTTTGAAGAAGGGGACCTGAAAAAAAAACCTTGACATAAGTTGACTAGCTATTTAAAAAAAGGGGGAGGTATCGAAACTCAAACTCCTATTTGTTGGGGTTGAAGGTCCCATTTTTTTCAGTATCAATCCCCCCCTTTTTTTACATAAACATACTACATAACCATTTTTGACTATGATGCAAGAAAAAAAGGGGGGGGGGGACCTGACTCTCATTTTCTGTAGTAAAAAGTTGTGACTGGAACAAAAAGGGGGTGATACTACGTGTCTGTCTGAAACATGTATATTAATTTCCTTTCAATTTTTCGTAATATGACGACTCATTTTTCCTTATCTGAAAAGATTTCATATCTTAAATATCACAATAAACATGTAAAGCTGGCTATAAAAATGCACATCTGTAATAAGGGACAATTTTCCGAGGGCATGCACAGTTGAAAAAAAAAAGGTTTTTGGTACAATTACAATTTTACGTTGACGTGTAATTAATATCAATTATGTTCACCCTCCTCTAATTTATTATCACATATACACATAGTAAAGTTACCCCCCCCCTCCCCAAAAAAGGAACTAGACACAAAACAAACCCTCCTCGGGCCCATTCCTAGAAAGTATGTACTCAGTAAAATACTAATCGGACTTCCACGGATGACTCGTACTTGAATGGAGCGTAGCGGAGTCAGCTGAGGATTGTCGATTGAATGGAGAGTAGCGGAGTCAGTCGAGGATTGCCGATTGAGTAAAATACAATGCCTCAAAATAAAACAAATAGCTTACTGCAATATATGGGCTCCTGGCGGGGGCAAAGTACACAATATATCAATACTACATGAACGAGAACATTTTTTTTTTGGAGTTTATGTAATTACAAAGCTAAATATTTTCAAACTCATTTAAAAGGTATTGAAAAAAGGTTAAACAGAAATTATGAGGAAATGTTAATGTTCAAAATGATGCATGTGTGAAACATTTATTAAGAAAGGATCTGAATTAGGTGCCTTTTAATCGAAAGAATGGATGAAGTGTTGGTCATCACATTTATAACAGTTAAACAAAGTACCCTGTACATTTACTTCCATGTGCATGCAAAGCCAAAAGTATACGATGAACGTGTTTCAATTTTATTTCCAGTAAATTAAATTCATGAACCTGAAGTTGTGCTATTACAAAACTGATGAATGATTAAAAAAATAAATAGAAGTCAATTGTTAACAATTTCTTTAATGACATTTAAGACAATGATTCTATGGAGTAAGAAGATGGGTATAAACTCCGCGTGCAACATGTTGCATACACCCCGGACACAACATTGATTTTTCGTCAATTTCTTTATATACGAACTGTTTTATTTACAGACAATTTGTACAAACGTTTATATTGTAAAAATGTATTTAACAATAATATAAAAGTGACGTTAAAGCAAAGCTTTCTCCTGATATTTGATCATAAACACAGTGTAGCGTCAATCTTGCTCCGATCCTTGGAATTGTGTTGAGGTGTTTGAAAAAAACTAGAAGGTGTCCAGTGGATTCACAGGTATCCATATACTCCTTAGACAATGCTTCCTTCCGTAGGCATATGCTTTCTGGCGATAAATATCCGTAAGTTAAGAAAATGGACAAAGAACGTACATTGACCCCCTTTTTCTCGCTTCGGTAGCATACACCCCGCGCACAACTTAGTATACACCCCGCATGTTGGGATATACACGGTGATTTATACTCAATTCCTTTAAACGGCGTAAATTGATAAAAAAAATCTATCTCTAAACGTGCAAGTCTTTTAATTGTACAGATATTAACAGCCGCAGAATTGTTTATAAACATTTAATTAATTTTTTATTTCATTAAAAAAGAATTTCAAGGGCGATAATGGAACGGTAACTCTTGTTTATAGATGCATTTTATTTTACATGCACAGAAAACAATTTGATATTCTGATTTAAAAAGCATCGCTCCAGTATGTTTTCTAAAGGGAATTAGATAGGTATGAGAGTAAATATTATTTTTATATATACCTTATATTTCTAATTTAATTGTGAGATTAAAAATAATTGATCTTTCTATTGACCATATCAAATTTTCTTCAAATCATGATTTGACATATCATTCATTTCTGAAAAAGTAAGCAACGCTTCATACTTCAAACTATTTTTTTATTTGAATTGAATGTTATAGTTGTTGCTGAAAATCAATGTTTGGAATTTTAAAAAAAAAGTCGTGAAATATGGAGCAGAAGGATACTGTCCCTTAATTTTACACGCCAGGAGCAAGCCCCTGTGGTCCGTGTACAGGTTATATATATATGTGTACTTTGTTGTTAAAAAAATGCTCGGGTTCGTTCTTCATGAGATAAACATGTAAGCGATAAATTTAATTTTTCGAAGGTGATTTCACGCAATATCAACAATGTTCAACATAGGATTATTTTTTGTGTGACCTAACAAAAATTATTTTTTTAACTTTTGAATTTTGATATCTTTTAAAAAGAAAAGGTCTTTGGGGATATAATTTGCCAAAAGTTGATACAATTTATGGACAATTATTTTTCAAGAAGAAAATCGAATATATATTTTTAGCTATTAGAATCGGACCAAGCGGCTTTAATGCAATTTATTGTTGAAAATTCATGTGTCTGTAAACATAGAGAGCCTTGAAGTTGAAAGAATTTATATAAATTTATATGCATGCACTTTTTTAAAAGAGCTTCCACATGCGGTGACATGTACATGTATTTACCTGGTGTATAAATCTTGTGTTCATATCAAACAGAATAAGAATCTGAATGTATGTTTGATAGTTGTTTAGAAAGTCATTGTTTACAGTGCATGTTCAAAACAAAAGTAACATAATTAATTGAATTGGTTTTTTGATGTAGTAAACATTAAAATGAATACATGTAGTTTTTTTCCTTTTCGGCAGGTGGCTCAATCAGATTTTTTCAGAAAAATATGATCCTGGAAGCATCACAGAGTGTGTTCCTTACATTTCGTTGATGGCTGTCCATCGGAACAACATCCAGTACCTACCCTGTTTCCTCGAAATAACTTTGGAGAAGGCCCACTTTTGAAGAGAAGCAGGAAATCCATTGACAAAAGGGAGATTTTAAAGGATCTCAACAATAATACTGCAGATTGCCAACCTCAGGATTCAACAATGGTGTGTAATAATCTACTCTTATGTACATAATAAGTGCTAGATTTATTTAGAAAGTAGTCAAAGTACAAGCACATAATTCACATTTTTAACCTACATGTATATACACCATGAAATTTGCAGATTAGATTTTTATTTGATAAAGAGTATTCTTGTCATCTTTTAACATTAATATTTTCTATGAGTATGTTGATTTTTTTTTTCAGAGTGTCACTGTACTTCATGATGGAAGTGTAATCCCTTTGCCCGTTCATAGCGAGTGCACAGTCAGTACCACCATGGTGAATGAAAAGAATACAAAAGTGAAGCATGGGAAAAAAGCAACTAAAATCAAACAAAGTATGGGCATTAATTTTAATGTCCTTTATGAATTTCCAAAATTTAGCTTAATATATTATACATGTAATACATGCAAGTAAACTTTGAGGTTCTTGTTTTTATTGGTATAATGGTATTCTACATAAATAGTTTATGTATACTTTTACAAATTTTAGAACTGCACACAGATCATGAATACAGTATTGCACACAGAAAGTACCCAGAGTACAGTAATGCAGAAGTCCACACAGATCTTTCTGTACATGACATAAACATCATGGAGACAGAGAGTGCCAGTTATTCCAAAGGGAATGTTTTGCGTGAATTGTTTGTTCATAAAGCCACAAACTCTGATGCATCGGTCAGAAGATATTTTGGATTACCCAGTATTTCTATACTTTTGGGTCTATTCAGTAAGTATTTATTGCAATAAAATTCATTTAACATTCGCATATAAGTACAAAATATTTTTCAAGTGTTGATGACAGTGATAATAAAACAATTTCTTCCAGGAATGGATGTAGTGATAATTTACATTATGAACAGTAACCATAATAAAAGGCTGCATTGTTTTTTATAGGCATACTTGAAAATGCATCCAAGAAACTAAAATATTGGTCTGGCAAAGATAGCATAGATGAAAAGCGCTATGAAGAGGACAACGCTAGAAAACCTGGTCCTGAGAGAAAGCTTACAATGTTCCACGAGTACCTTCTTACGCTACTTAGAATTCGTCAGGACTTAAACATAGGTATTCTTAAGGATATTTTTGGAATATCGGAGAGTCGTGTGTCCAAAATCTTCAATACTTGGATAAATTACATGTATCGAGTGTTTTCTCCTCAGATTAAATGGCCATCCATGCAAAAAATACGAAAATATATGCCCAGGTCCTTTAAGGCATCATTTCCTAATACACGTGTAATTATCGACTGTACTGAGGTATTCATCCAGAAACCTAGAAGTCCAACAGCTCAAAGCCAGACATACAGTAACTATAAGAATCATAGTACTTTTAAAGCACTTGTGGGCATAACTCCATCTGGAGCATTTTCCTTTATATCCAAATTTTGAGGAGGAAATGTATCCGATAGATTTATCACAGCAAACAGTGGCTTTCTTGATAAGATTTCACCAGGTGACGAGGTGATGGCAGAACGTGGATTTGTTATAAGAGATTACTTGCTAGAACGGAGAGCAAAATTAGTGATTCCACCATTCACCCAGAAATGTGCTTGGGGAAAAGGCAAGAGACTGTCACCTACACAAATCCGACAAACAAGACAAATTGCAAGACTTCGCATTCATGTTGAAAGAGCCATTCAACGACTAAAGACCTATCGAATTTTATCGGGTATAATGCCTTAAACCTTGAAACCAATCGCAGATCAAATTTTGGTTGTAGCTGCTTTTCTATGCAACATTGATTCTCCACTTGTTAAAAAGTAAAAAAAAAAAAACATGCATTTTCCATTCATCATTTTACAAGAAAACCAACTTTTTTTACCTTGTTTACTTGGATAAATGCTATTGATTTAAAATACATTCTTTGACTGATGCTGATAATTTCTTTCTTTAATACATGTTCTAATGTAGTGTACAATGTTTTGAATACCCGGTGTACAATCCTTTACAAAAATGGTGATGCAAGTTATGACATAAAACTACATGTCGTGTGTCCAGAATCTTCAATACTTGGATAAATTACATGTATCGAGTGTTTTCTCCTCAGATTAAATGGCCATCCATGCAAAAAATACGAAAATATATGCCCAGGTCCTTTAAGGCATCATTTCCTAATACTCGTGTAATTATCGACTGTACTGAGGTATTCATCCAGAAACCTAGAAGTCCAACAGCTCAAAGCCAGACATACAGTAACTATAAGAATCATAGTACTTTTAAAGCACTTGTGGGCATAACTCCATCTGGAGCATTTTCCTTTATATCCAAATTTTGGGGAGGAAATGTATCCGATAGATTTATCACAGCAAACAGTGGTTTTCTTGATAAGATTTCACCAGGTGACGAGGTGATGGCAGATCGTGGATTTGTTATAAGAGATTACTTGCTGGAACGGAGAGCAAAATTAGTGATTCCACCATTCACTCAGAAATGTGCTTGGGGAAAAGGCAAGAGACTGTCACCTACACAAATCCGACAAACAAGACAAATTGCAAGACTTCGCATTCATGTTGAAAGAGCCATTCAACGACTAAAGACCTATCGAATTTTATCGGGTATAATGCCTTAAACCTTGAAACCAATCGCAGATCAAATTTTGGTTGTAGCTGCTTTTCTATGCAACATTGATTCTCCACTTGTTAAAAAGTAAAAAAAAAACATGCATTTTCCATTCATAATTTTACAAGAGAACCAACTTTTTTTTTACCTTGTTTACTTGGATAAATGCTATTGATTTAAAATACATTGTTTGACTGATGCTGATAATTTCTTTCTTTAATACATGTTCTAATGTAGTGTACAATGTTTTGAATATCCGGTGTACAATCCTTTACAAAAATGGTGATGCAAGTTATGACATAAAACTACATGTATATATTGACAATTTTTCTTACATCTGATATTTTTAAAGATGGAAAAGAAAGCCAATCAAAATACAGAAAGTTATTGAAACATATTGATATTCATTTCTGTTCAAACAAGTTATTTTTAATGTGGATATGTAAAAAAAACAAACAAAAAAAACATCAGAATGTGGAGTTGTATAAGGCATCAGAGTGAAAAAATATCAATCATGTTATGTACATGCATTCTCACTTCAAATCATGTTATGCTGTCTGGCTGTATCTGGAAATATGGTGAACAATAAAATATAAATAATAACAAGAGGCCCACGGGCCTTATAGGTCACCTGAGCATCGTGCAACAACTTTCAAATGATTGAATTTGGTTCATGTTTTAAGCTAGATGCTATTGCATTCACAATTTTGAAAGAAGCACCATTGCTAATCATAACTATACACTTAGCAATTGTTTAGATTGTTTACTTAATACCCATAAGCAGGGTAGGGGAACAAAAATGTATGTCAACTAGTCAGTAATATTCAGCGATAATCAGGAGTGCTCCTACCATACATGAACCCCTGACCCTAGGTCTACACATTGTACAATTTTTGAAAAGGCACCTCGCTTATCACAAATGTTTGATTAATACCAAGCATATTTCAAACAATTCATTTTCAGTATATAAATAGAGCCCCCCCCCCCCAAAAAAAAATAAAAAAAATTTGGTATACCTGACCCAGGGGCCTTGAAATTCACAATTCTGGAAGAAGAGCCCATCATAAATATGTAAATAGTTCTGCTTATTACCCAGAAGTAGAGAAAAAGATTTTCATAGATGTAATGCATTTTCACTATATAATCAATAGAGCCCCGCCCTAACACCATAACCCCTGACCTTGGGGCAATAAAATTCACAATTTATGTAGAGACACTCTTGCTCATCATAACTATGTCCTTAATTAGTTTATTTAATACCCAGGAGCAGAGAAGAAGATTTTCAAAGAAATAATGCATTTTCACTATATTATCAATAGGGCCCCGCCTTAGCACCAGAACCCCTAAACCTGGGGCCATAAAATTCACAATTTTGGTAGAGGCTCTCTTGCTCATCATAACTATGTACTTAGTTGGTTTATTTAATACCCAGGATCAGAGAAGAAGATTTTCAAAGAAATAATGCGTTTTCACTATATAATCAATAGGGCCCCGCCCTAGTTCCAGAACCCCTGACCCTGGGGCAATAAAATTCACAATTTTGGTAGAGGCACTCTTGCTCATCATAACTATCTACTTAGTTGGTTTATTTAATACCCAGGAGCAGAGAAGAAGATTTTCAAAGAAATAATGCATTTTCACTATATACTTATTTGGCCCCACCCTAGCACATGAACCCCTGACCTTGGGGCCATGAATTTCACAATTTTGATAGAGGACTCAATGCTGATTACATTCATGCAAACAGTTTGACTGCTTGATGTCTAGGAGTAAAGAAGAATATTTTTAAAGATATGTATGCCGTGTTAAACAGTATTTTTGCACAGCTGAAACCGAACAAAAATTTCTGGAGTATGATAAGCTACCAAAAATGAAGCATTCTTGCAAATTCGACGAAATTTTATTCGGTATTAATAAAGTACTAGTCAGGAAAAGAACATGATATTCTCATGCATATTTATAAAGGACTGACGTTTATCCTGGATCTGCGCATGTGCGCGGGAAAAGCATCGCGAGAATCATCAGGTCGAGGAAAATATTTTTTGTGACGTCTGTTCAGTGAGGGACACAAATAGACCAATCAGCTCCATGAGTTGCATTTAATGCATTTATGTGTTACTACATAAAATACTACATGTGTTTTTCAAAAAGGCTAGTTTTTTAAATCGCTCTCAGAAAGACTTGATGCATTATGTACATTATTATCTACTAATCTCATGCTCATATTTGCATACAAATGATTAACGATGATGAAAATTTAAGTTTTCCCCACTCCATTGTACAGGTCCGTTTGTTTAGAGTTTCCCCGTGCTGTACTGCTAGTGGACATTTTCGGTTGGGTGGACATTTACCGATCTTCAGTATGGAGCGCATATTATGCGCAAAAGATATTTTATGTCAAATACAATGTATGGAAAGTAATTTAAACTGCTATGTTTACACCCTGAATGGGATATCGTCAATTATCCCTTTTCGTTTTTTAATATGAACTACATAACATATGTAGATGAAACTTACATACAATACATCTTGCCTTCTTAGAAATATAGTTGGGCTAATAAAATAAATTTGGTCAAGGAATTCCAGGCCTCTAAAAACTATTCCAGTTTGAGAGCACAACCAAGCATTTCGATGAACATTATTAAGAAAAATTGATTCAGGTAGGTAGCATCGTTTTTTTTTTTCAAATTGGGTGGGGGAATAGAACAGTTAGAATAAAAAAAACTAGTTCGAAGAAATCTGACAAGTAAAATAGGTTCCAATATCTTTCACTAATAAATTTTATTCATTCACTACAATTTACTGCCAAACTCCAAATTTCACTTTCGAATTAGCCCGAGCCAATGCTGATAACCTACTTGCAAGATTTTTAGCTCACCTCAACGAAGTTGGGGGAGCTTATGTAATACCCTTTTCGTCGGCGTCGGCGTCGGTGTCGGTGTCGGCGTCCCAGGTTAAGTTTTTTGGAGCAGTTTTCTTTTTAAGTACTTCTATGTCCTATATTGATTAGACATGCATGGAAGATGCATCTAGTGTGTTTCATTGTACAAGTCAAAGTTTCAGATGCTGCAATTTCAGCAAAGGAATGACCAGGTTAATGTTTTTGGAGCAGGTTAACATTTTTGGTGCAGTTTTTGGTGTAGGTCTCATTTCCAAGGAAATATAAGCCCTATGTTGACCAAACTTGCATGGATGGTACATCTAAGGATGTACACTACCAGACTTGCTTCGGATGCTGAATCTGACCTACATTTTCCGGTTGAGTGAACAGGTTAATGTTTTTGGGGCAGGTCTCATTTCCGTGTAACTAGAAGTCCTATGTTGACCAAACTTGCATTGATGATACATCAAAGGATGTACACTACCAGACTTGCTTCGGATGCTGAATCTGACCTACATTTTCCGGTTGAGTGAACAGGTTAATGTTTTGGGGGCAGGTCTCATTTCCGAGTAACTAGAAGTCCTATGTTGACCAAACTTGCATTGATGATACATCTAAGGATGTACACTACCAGACTTGCTTCAGATGCTGAATCTGACCTACATTTTCTGGATGAGTGAACAGGTTAATGTTTTTGGTGCAGGTCTCATTTCCAAGGAATTATAAGTCCTATGTTGACCAAACTTGCATGGATGATACATCTGAGGATGCATACTACCAGACTTGCTTCGGATGCTGAATCTGACCTACATTTTCTTGATGAGTGAACAGGTTAAAGTTTTTGGGGCAGGTTTCATTTCCAAGTAACAATGAGCCTATATGACTAAACTTGCATGGATAATACATCTTAGGATGCATACTACCAGACTTGCTTCGGATGCTGGATCTG